GGCAGCCCGTTACACCAGGATCAAAGACCTTGGCAAGACTCTCTGAATTCCTTCATGAGCAATAACTGCTGCCACTCAGTTCCTGTGGAATTAATACATGTAAGAAATATACAGTAGTTAAATATATAGTTGGCCTATCACCCATCACTGCAGGATTCAAGATGTACTGTAGCCTGCAGAAAATATTACTCTATGGATAGAATTGCATTACCTCCTGCAAAATTTTTATAAGGCCCCTTAAAAGGATGACACAACCGAGGACACAAGATTTGTGAAGGGGCTTCTGTAGTATACAGTTTCTGTCTTTCCCATTAAGAAGGTTTATCTTCAGGTTATTATCATTAACTACTGTGTTCATTCTGTGCCTCCAACAGTATTGATTACGTGACTAATTGATGAGGCTGTGAGTGATTAAAATGGGTCGGACTCAATAAAAAGACTGTGCTAGCCAGTAAGCACATGACTTGCCACCTTGCTTCATCAAACAGCAAAGGGTTTTGCTTCATAAGGTGATTTGGTGAGTAACCAGGAGGGAATGATTCTCTTAGATGTAGCTACACACACAGACTTTTTTAAAAGCTTTTCTAACACGGGGAATTTAATCCCCAGACAACAAAGCTTAAGTAATAATCAGACCTTTCCAGAAGGTCATGGAAGCCTGACGCAGGAAACAGGGCTTGGGGGCTTGAGACAGATGCCTTTCACAACATCAGGATTCTGCCCTTGTCTTTTTAATTGAAAGGAGCCTGGGTTGCAAGTTCACATCTTGTTGATGTCAGACAAAGGCATTATAGACTTGTCCTTGGGAGCACGCACTCATGCGAGAGGAGCAATATATATCTGGCAGATTTGTTTGTCATAGTGATCCCACTGGCTAGACGTCTTTCAAATCTCATGTAGGAAAGCAAATCGCATGTGAAATGGGGAAATAAAACAACAAAACACATTATATATGTACAATAGTTGTTAGGAGCTGAAGAGGGATAGACAATATTTATTAAATGAGCAAGCACAGCAAACTGGGCTTAGGTAATTGAAAAACCCAAAGCAATTCCTTAGTAGTTTATTGTGAGAAGAGGAGAAAAAGACTTCAATATTCTGAAACTTATACGGTTATAAAAGGCACAGTATTTAAATTGTTGATACAAGGTATTTATATTTTGCAATTCAACACAGCCTGTTCAAAGGAAATGTTACTTTCAATGTAATCTCACTCACTTGAAATGGGAACAAAGATTGTTTTCTGGGTCTAAAGCAACATGTTTCTCTAGTATAACATCATAAGAGCATAAACATTTTTCAGACAAGAGGAGGTCATTTGGTCTATCTAACTCATTTGGTTGCTAGTAGATAACTGATCTGATTACATTGTCCAGCCTTTTCTAGAATGAAGTTAAAGTATCAGCTTTTGACACCATTCCTGGGTAACTCGTTCCAGGCTCTCACAATCCTTTGTTTAAAGAAGTGTCTCCTGTCCTCAGTCTTAAAGGCATTTCCATGTAGTTTCCATTCGTGTCCTCGGGTTCATTTTTCACCTTTACTTCTGCCGAAAACTACATGACTGGCTCTGTCAAATGCCTTGGAGCATTTTGAATATTGCTTTCTCGGCTCCAGCCTAAAAAGATTTAGTTCTTTAAACCTGTCAGAGTGAGAAATGTCTGTGAGTACTGGAATGTGCCTGGTCGCTTTTCTCTGGACTGATTCCAGAACAGCAGTATCTATAAGAACAAGAAGGGGCTGGTCCACGTGAAAATCATACCCTAGATCAATAACCCACATTATCAAATTCCCTAGGATGTGCTGAATACCGTACCTCTTAATACGATGAACTAGTGTTGAATAAACAAAAGAGTGATAACAAATACAGTTTGCCGAACATTATTAGTTCAATTTTATTCGTTCTTTCAAAAACCAAATGCTAATATTTATGGCTCCAGATATACATGCTTATATGATTAGCAATATCTAAAAAATTGGGATCAGGTAAGTCTGCCGCACCTTGCCCTAAATTTGACGTGAATCAAATTGTTACTCTTCAAGTAGTGTGTTCTTTTAAAGCAATATAGTGCTTTATTATTTCCCTGGGAAGGATCCTGTACTATGTAACATACACAGTTCAGGGTACGTATATAGTTTTATTAAAACTCTATTTTCATATAGTTTATATGTATTGCAGCATACAGTATAGAGTGATCGTGTATATAGAATTCAGTCTGTATTCATAGCACATTTGGGGCTGTTGCCTGATCAACATGGTATATTACCAGAATGTCTGCAGAAATCAGAGAAATTCTTCTTCACTAGGAAATCATAGTTTGTATTCATTGGGAATTTGAGGTAATTATTTTAAATAAATCTAATTTTAGCTGATGTATTCAATCAACCGTACTGTAAAAAGTGCATTGTGAAGCAATTAAACTTTTCAGATGTGATCATGGACAGAGGATACTGAACTGTCACACAGAGTATTTATCATGCAGTCTATCGTGTCTTACCACACGGAGCCAATGCAACAGCTTGTGCTCCCTGGATCCTATTTGTATGTGTACCAATTTCATTGCTCCACAGTGCACAGTTTTCATGATACTCTTGAGTGAAGTCAATTAATGTGATGAGCACTCTATATTACTTTGGCAAGTGTATCTAAAATCATTCTCTATGTTTAACACCTAAGAGACTCTACAGTATGTCAAATTGGTCTTCAATGCAAGTGTACTTCAAGTCGGTGCTCCCAAGCAGCTTGACCAGTAAAGGAGATCACTTTGTGAGCAGGTCGAGAGCTCCATGTCCACACTTTGCAAAGTTTGAGAGTCTGAGCCTTGATCTTGTCGCCTGCTGAATGGGGTTAGGACTCCCGAAGCAATGGGGCTCAATTGGCAGAGTGGAGGGGGAATTGCTCAGCTAGGGTTCTAATTAATATAAGGTCCCCATCATTCACCAAAGTACTTACAACCTGCTGGGAGACTGTGCCGGGATTCCTACAAATAACCCCTACATTAAAATCAAAGGACTGTGCACTACTAACCTGACACCACCTGACACCCAGCCTTCAATGTAGACCCTCCCCCCAACTGGCATTATGGTTCCCTTTCCACCAGAAGAACATAAGAAAGGCTACAGGTGACAAGGATGTCATTCAGCCCATCCAACTCATTTGGTTGGTAGTAGCTAGTTAATCCAAGGATCTCATCCAGCAATTTCTTGAAAGAAGCTTCAAGATTTGAGCTTCAACAGCAGGGATAGGATGATTCAAGAACTCCTATAACCCTTTAGCTGATGAAGTCTCTCCTGTTTTCAAATTTGAAGTGCACTTCCATGTAGTTTCTACTCATGTCTTTAGGTTAGTGTTTCTTTGTGCGTTCTGAAGAAATCTGCCGGGTTCCCTTCATCAAGGCCTTTGAGGATGCTGAAGACAGGTGTCAGGTCCCCCCGTCGTCGTCTCTGTTCAAGAGTGAAAAGGTTGAGTTCCTTCAGCCTGGCAGTGGAGGAATTGCTCTAGTCTAAGCAATGTAGCGACTCCTGTGGACTCCCAGAAGGAATCTGGGAATCCTCCTCCAGCTGCTGTTACTCCCCCTGTGGGACACTGTTGTGCTTACTGCATGACAGAAGAGGGGTAGCTGTGCGGGTGGACAGGTGCGAGGCCCTCACCTGCCCACTCTCCTTCTCCTCGGGTGGCCCAGGTGTGCTCGCTTAGCCCCGAGACAGAAAGAAGCAGCTGTGGTGTCCAGCCAGTGGGCGAAAGGAAATCGCAGCTGGGCCAATGAGAGAAGCTTGGATTACAAATTACAATAAAAACAAAACATTCAGAAATTAAAATAAAAGCTTAAAACAGGTGTTGTGTCCCTAACCTGGACTAGCCGAAAAGATACATACAGTAGATGTATGCTTTGTTATTCTGTGAAATACCGGCTCGAACTGGGATCAAAATTAATATTCAGAAAACTGAGCCACATGTTGACTACTCATGTGCTTCTCTGTTTTCATTCTTATTTACCATACAATGCCATAAAGAGAGATAGATAAACATTATTTTAATTTTTAGAAATATCACAATTGTATCCACTCTCTAAAAAGTGGTGTACTTGAGTATATCCATTTGTGATGTGTCCATTAATGGGCTTAGTACAGAGACTATGGGTAATTCTTCCTATAAGATCTCTAAAGTGAATGGGCACTGTAGTCCCTCCGGGGCTGAAATAGATTTCCTTAGGAAAAAAGGTGTGTGTTAAAAACAAAGAAAACTGTTTTTTTCTTTAGACTTTGTATAATATGGTGCAGATCCTAGGGGAGAGAGAGATTGGTGAGAAGAGGGGAAAGATCCTCAGTTTAAGTAAATATAATATAGGGAGCAAGTTTCATATCAACACAGTTAGACCACACATTGAAACTGCCAGTTAAAGGCAAGGAGTTTACTTCAGGTAAAACTGCCATTCATAATCCGAATGGATAAGAATGCTTCTGTAATGAAAGCTTTAAACCTGAACAAAATTCATGCCATCTGGGTTCTTATTTCCCAGATAAAATATACAGCTATATTAAATTACCTCAAATAATTGTGGATGAGCATAGCTATCAATTACAATAGCTTTCTATTTCTATATCAAATCATGGTGCAAATAGAACAGATGTTCTCTCCTAAGCATATGAGAGGATAGATCCCATAATCGCCAGAATTCAAAGATTTACCAGTCCTCCAAATCTGATCATGTTTTAACTGTTCTCCATAATAGTTTAGTAGCAGCTCTCACTGAGGGTTTGAAATACAAAGAACAATATTCCTCACGTTATTCAATGATGTTTCATAGTAACATTTTATCATACCAGGGAAACTGAAATATCTTTTAAAAAACAACTATATTTTCCTAAAATGTTCCTAAATAATGCAAGCATACATGACATAATTCATCATGAAAGTGGTGATGTTCATAACTTACTATACATTAACTGTGCACTAGTTGCCTACCTGTACTTGTGTTAATCTATGGTCTTTTGTTTTGCAGGTGAGGGTATTCATTGAAAACTGGATTAAGGAGATATGTTAAGTGCTTTGCTCAACATGTTGAAAAACTTAACAGAAAGGTAAGAAACTGCCTAAACATACATTCATACATAGGTCCACAAAAGATACAAATGTAAACAATCTCAATTAATGTGGAGTTCAAACGAGGCAGGCTTGCTAATAAAAAGCATAAACACTGACGGTCGTAAAAGACATGGAGACTTTGTTATTCGTGACAACTTTTTGAGACGCTCTGTGTGCTTTCATTGGAAATATTCTGTTTCCCAGTCTAGGTTGGTTAAAAGGGTCTATTTTATCATTGTGTGAGAATGACTTCGGGCAACATTTAATTCAAAATTGACAAACATTCAATGTAAGCATTAATGGTTTATTAAGTAACGAATGTGAGTTTTTGTGTCTGCCTGATAGCTTATTGTTCTTTGCAGGCTGCTTTTAACATGCATGAAGCCCTTGTAACTTGCCTGATGTTACACAGAAAGCAATGCTGGCTATTTGAGGATGCAGTGTGAACAGTGGGGTTCTGCATTGGAATGAGCCATGTCATTTGTTTATAAGCAGTTTGGTTATGTCTTTCCAAGCGCAGCCACCTTCTGTGGATTGGAAGCATTGAGCATTGTCATAAAGTCAGTAAGACACCGACAGTTTGGTTTAGTGAAGGCTAAACTGAGAACCAGATCTTAAGGCTGTTGTTTAGTAAAAAAGAAAGTGTGTCACTCTATTAAAATTCATGAAATAAGTAAAGGACAATAACAAGAATATCAGACAAGCTCCTGAGTGAAGCAGTCATTTGAAAAATGAGGGAAAAGCACAGGTGCATAATCAGTGCAAACATAAAGAATTAACTAGGATTTTAAGTGTCCTCAATGCTCATAATCAGACCCAACAGACTGATTGTGCAGTCCTTGGCTTTCCAGCAGGTGCCATGCCAAAGTCAATTGTCTTATGCTCCACTGTGTAATTTTCTTCTGTGATATTATCAGCATCAGAAAAACACAATATTAGTATGTTTTCATTACTACTAAAAAACTTTCCATAGTATCATTCTGAATTTCTCTTTACTCTTCTGCTGATTGTATTCTCATATGCCTTCATAACAGGCACTTTGTATAATGTAGAAACAGACAGCGGTCCGAGTAGTCTTTCACAGCTGAGCAATCTTCAGACACTGGTAGAGCATCTCCCAGATTCAAGCTTTGATGTTAAGGACAACTTCTTTGAATGCTCCTTGATGAAAGAAAGGAAGAAAATCAGCACTGCCCCAGTTTCCCGATAACAATGATGGAACTGAACAAGATCTGGTTTTGGCCTCAGCTGTCTCAGTCCTACATGCATTTCCATATTCAAAACCATGCGTGGAGTGAGGAAGGTATTGCCTGCCTATTTGTTTCTTAAAGAGTCAGCTAAACTACTCAGTCCTGGTATATTTTTTTGAGTCAGAAGTCACCTTATAGTAGCTATCCATAATGTAGAGCATAATTAACACCAGAAAGTGTGTTTTGTCTGTGCTTTCTCTGGTTCTTTTTTAGCAGCAACAATACATTGCACTTGCACTGTAGCTAAACTCATGTGAAAGAGGATGAGTGATCCTCAGGCTGATAGGAACAGGCATGTTAGTACTGCTGTTTGAAAAGAAGGTCCCTCAGTAACCTGAGCACTTCCCACTAGCCTTGTGACGTGTGTCAGAGCCCTTTATTTCTTTTCTCGGTTGTATCGCTCCTCACCATGGTAAGGACCTTGCAGTTCAATTGCTTTGTCTCATACACAGTTGACATATGACAGAGTGGCCTGAAAAGGCATTTAAAAGTATGGGAGGAACGTTTTTTCCAGTTTTCACTAAGCTTTGTTCTATCTGGCCTTAACTAATAGGAGTCGTAAAAAGAGAGCTTGGTTCAGTAAACCCTGGAGAGGATGGTCGACTCTAATAGACCGCACAGAGGTGAATCATGAGCGCCCGTGGCAATATGAGTTGCTTCAATTTTTCTTCTGCTTTTTCAGTTGTCAGACTGCCCACTCCATAGTAATTTAGTTAGATGGAGTTTGTATGAGGGAAAAATCATTAAAGCTTCAGTAATTTCCTTGTAAATGTTAAGACTGCACAGATCAATAAAATATTTTTATTAAGCAGAACACATGATTTGAGTTACAATACCGTTTGTCCAGGTGAGGGTCATGCATGCCCACAGGCCATCCCAGAAGAACAAGGGGCGAGACAGTACTCTCCCCCTAGTCGGGACACAGTCCATTGTGAGAATGAAGAGAAAGAGACCATTTAGTATAGCCAATTGAGCCTACCCAGCATGCCTTAGGAGGTTCAGTTGGCTTCAGAAAAGAGAAGTATCCAACAAATCCCATCTGACCACAGGGAAAATTAGTCAAATGGCTCTATACAGTCATTCGAACACTGGACACCGGACCCAAGATGTGGCAGTACTAATGGCAATGCCACCTGCTCCTAATTTTATGTTCTTTCCAATCTGTGCAGCCAGTAATAGTTATTTGGATTTGTGTAAGCTTTATACTACCGAAAATGGAAGTTTGTTGTAAAGAATAACAAGGCATTGTAATGGAGGTAGATGTTAATCAATACTTTTCTATACTTTCTATACTTGAATACAAGGGGAAATAGTTTTACAGCTGCATTAATAGTATTCATAAATTTTAAAGTTTACAAATATAATGTCACTGTATAAATAAACTGTCATGGAAGGAAAAGTGTCACTTTGCATCACACCGATATTTTCCAAAGATTAATATTGTTGCATGAAGTTGATTCATTTATTTTACTCAAGGAGTCATGGAGCCATTTCATTTCATGCTTCCAGAGTTTGTAAGAATGATTTTGCCACGCTGTTAGAGTACAGCAGTTACAGGAACTTGCCAAAGATTTTAATAAATGATAGAGGCAAACTATCATATCGGTCACACAAGAAATGGAAAATTATTATGGATATAAATTTAGAAGCACTTTCCTGCTCCTGCTTGTTGATCATGTTGTGTATGTCAGGTTTTCTGCCGGATACTCCGTTTTCTGAGCTTAATGACTTCCTTCATTCATGAATTTTTAAAGGCAGGATTTTTTTTATTTGTACCATTTCTTACCGTTGCCTTATTTATTTTTCGATTGATTTCTATTTTTGTAAGTAACACCATGCTTATTTGCGACACAGGCCTCGTGATTGAAAACAAGGATTGATGTGTCTCCTCATTGCCAAGCCACCTCTTTTTGTCCAACATCATCAAGAATCCTTCACACCATCACCACTGGTACAACTGATATTTTGCGTAGTAAGCTCTCTGATCTAGGACAGCGAACAAAGTACAAAATCTGCATTAAGAGTTCTTATTAAATGCAGGGTGTGACATTACGCGGGGGCGTGTTCAGTGTGGAGGCAGAGCCCTGGATGAAGGGCGGCGCCTTGCCTTTGTAGTCACAGCTGTTCTGTCTGCTAGAGGATGAGCCAACGCTGTGAGTGCTCTATAAAAGCACACTGGACACCCCCCGAAGGGACAAGAAGGGTCACCGTATCTTCACTGGGGCAGGCTGACCTTTTTTACACACTGGGTTTTTGTTTTGTTTTGGCCTTGCGCGCCCTGCTCTTCCAGACCGGTCCCCATTAATAGGCCGAGTCCAGGCCGGTCACCACTGTGCTATCGGTTCTTCTTCTTCCCAGACCGGACTCCGACGAATGGGGTAAGCCCAGCCTGGAGGTCGCGATGCACAGCAGCACACATTTTCTTTATGCTTTTCGTTTTGTTTTTTTGTGGTATTTTCGGTCCTTGCTAACCTCACACCGCTGCTTCCACCCCTTAGTTACGGGTGTTGACTTTTTACAGGCGCTTGCTGCGGCTTCTCCCACTCCCACAATGTTACAAGGGTCTCTATGCATTTTTGAAGCGATTGGTTTGTCTTCAGTTTGACATGATGGTCCAAATATTGTCTTCTTCCAGCCATTGCAAAAAGATCTTCTTGACTTGATACTTTCTATTGCCTAGTGAGATGTCCCGGTAATGAAGGGTGCAGCAAATCACACCGAAAAAAAACACTGAAATACTCTTAAATGTTACAGAAAAAAATAATATAAAAGTTTATAGAGACACACCAATCTCAGGAAGTATCCTTACATGTGTGCTTTATGGCATAAATATATTTCAATGTTTCTTGGTTCTGATGTTTAAAAATATTTCTAACACCTCAGCAAAAGAAATCCATAGTGAAAAAAGCAGGCATGTGGTGTTGCTGATGGCAAAAATCACATGGTAACAGCTCCCTGCAAAGATCCCATCTGTTAAATGAGTCTGGACTGGGTTCATTTCATACTGCTGTACTATAATTATAAAGAGAAACACGTTGGTCTTTTGCCAGCTTTTGCAGTGGGACAGAGGCTCAGTGTCCAAGTGGGTTTTTACTCTCTTCCACTGGATCCTGTTCAGAAGGGTATGAAGAATGGAACTGAGTAAAAGCTAGAAAAGAAACCCAAGGCTGTTAGAAGTAAGCTTATCATTTTTATTTTACTGTAACTATTTTGTAAAAGCAACCTTTCTCTATGATCCAACTTCCAGCAGTCAACAAACCCCACAGCCATTTATTTATAAGTGAATTATTCAATCTGTGTCTGTTTGGGTTGGTGCTGAACAAACGCCACACAAGTTTTGTGTGCTGGCTGATTACCACTGCTGGATCTCTCATGTTGGAGCCTGTCAATAAGAACAATCTTTTACAGCCCTAAATACTGAGCATCAAAGCCAGTTATTCGGAACACAGATGCACGAGGGGGAGTGAACTGTGAGAGAGCACTTGAGAAAATTACAGCAATTTCCATAATCAAGAAAAACCAAGGAAAGTTTGGTTTTCCGTGTAATTTGTTGCTTTTTTGTTGCTTTTTTGTCAGCATTCCATGCAGCACATTTTCTTTTTGATTTTAAGTTTCCAATGCTTCACAAGTCTCTCTGATTTCCAGCCCTGGTCCTGGAAGATCAATCTTCTGGTTCTTCCGCCATCTGAGCTCTTAATCACAGGTTCATTAATTTCAGTTTTCTGTCTGGGACGTATTTGTAAATT